CAAAAGAGGGCGGGAAATGAGGTGGATGTGGGGGAATCATAAGGGGAGGAAGGGATAGAAGGTGGAAAGAAAGGTTCTAAATATTGATGCTGGCCGGCCTGTATTGGTGCTTTTTTTATGTTTTATTTATTTTTTTCAAAACCGATTCAGAGGGGTCAATTTAAGTCCTGGCTACCCTCTGAACCATGGCCTGACCTGATACACCCCCTATAAGGGCATATCGGGAAGGCCCTGATACGATACGTATCGGCTGATACGGGCCGATACATAACGATATTTTGAACCTTGATGGAAAGGAGGCAGGACTGACCTCTTCATGGGTAAATTCAAAATTACTAGGACTGGGAAAATTTATGGGAATTTCGATAGCAGGAATGGAAGAAGAAACCATTAAATTTCTGGAGGAAATAGAGAAGAGTGTTCTATTTGAAAGAGGGAGATTGAATTCAAAAAGGGGGGGAGTTCGATGAAGAAAAACAGGGAAATATTACGTCTGTCTTGGGGTTTAAATGATAGGACAGGCAAAAGGGAGGGCGCGATAAGGGGAGGGGGGAAAAGGTTAGGAGTAAAGGGAAGAGAAGGGGGTAAGGGAGCTAATTTTGATAATAGGATTATGGAACTGAAAATTTTCTCTTGAAATGTGAGGGGTTTGGGGTTGGGAAGAAGGATGGTAGTGTGCGATGTGTTGAAAAGGTGGAATTCAGATGTGGTGTTCCTTCAGGAATTGAAGTTGGAGGCGGAAGTAATTGGAAGTATTTGGAGGTTGGGGCCAAGGGGAAGTTAGATAACAATGGAGGCAGGGGAACTGTGGGCGGTCTGATAACAATGTGGGACTGGTCAAGGTGCAAGTTGGTTGATTATCATATTGGATCTTTTTCGGTGTTGGTGGTGTTAGAAATGGAGGGGGAAGTAAGGGGCTTATTCACTAATGTTTATGGGCCCTCAGAAGAGGCAGAAAGAAGTAGACTGGGAGGATCTGGTTGAGGCAAGAGGCTCTTCCACCCTACCTTGGGTGCTGGGAGGAGACTTTAATGTTACTAGATTTTTAGAGGAGAGAAATGGGGGCAGAAGAGGGGTAAGACAGATGAAGTGGTTTGCTGATTTTGTCAACCAGCACTATCTATTAGACTTACCATTGACTGGGGCTCAGTTCACTTGGACAAACAATCAAGAATCTCCAATGTTGGTTAAGTTGGACAGATTTATGGTTAATACGGAGTGAGAATCTTTGTTCCAGAATTTAGTCCAGGAGGCCTTGCCAAGACTGACATCAGATCACTCTTCTATTCAGCTAAGGTGTGGTGTTTTTGGTCATAGAAAACCTCCTTTTAAGTTGGAACATTCCTGGTTCGAGGAAGAAGACTTTGTCCCCTTTTTAAAAGCTAATTGGGTGGACACTCAGGTAGAGGGAATGGGTTCTTATGTTTTATCCAAGAAATTGGGAGCTTTAAAGGAGGCAATGAAAACCTGGAAGGAAGATAAGTGGAAAAAATCAGAGGCAAAAAAGAAAAGTTGTCTAGAGGTTGTTAAAGAAATTGATCCAGCTGAAGAGAAGGGCCCCATCTCTCAGGAAGAAAATATTAAGAGGCGGGAAGCTAAATTGCTCTTGGATAAATTAGCCCATAGAGATGGGTTGAAATGGAGACAAAGGGAAAAGGTGAAATGGCTTAAGGCTGGGGATAAAAATTCCAGTTTTTTTCATAAGATGGCAA